GAAGCGGTATATAAGTCTTAACTGCTATTGCTATTGCTATTTCCAGCCCTCTCTAAGCGGTTTACAGAGCCAGCCTATTTCCCCCAACAATCTGGCTCCTCATTTTAATGACCTTAGAAGGATGGAAGGCTGAGTCAACCTTGAGCCTGGTGAGATTTGAGCTGCCAAATTGCAGGCAGCCGGCAGTCAGCAGAAGTAGCCTGCAGTACTGCACTGCACCACTGCAGCTCATATATGTTATGAAGATGCACTAAAACATATCTAGTCAAGAAAAATACATGTCAAATATTAGAATCTTATACTATTTCCTATACTTTTTAAAATTGCAAACTTATGTTCAATGCCTACAGCAAATTTAGGATTGGGAAATTGAATGAAATTAACTTGACATTTCCCTTAATCCCTAGTCATGTTCACCATACTATGGTATTGTTTTTGATCTTTGCACATAGAATAAGGATATACAAGAGGAGTGTTTACTTTATTAAGACAATTTCATGAAGCCCAATCTGTTCAGCTATACACTGTGTACAGTACACTTGTACATTTACAGGCCTACATAATCTCTCAGGTGGTTATGATTTTTACCTGGATTAGTTTTGTTTAAAACTATGTGCTAGGGGTTGTACTAATCAGTTATACTTCTTATGTTTATTACTGATCATATATTCTTCCTTCTCCACATATTATCAGTTTATTTCAAAACAGAATTTTATGTCACAGTAATATTTTTTAATGCTGAAGGAAAAATACCTTGGAAGAGCCACATGTGATGTTGAGATTCCAGTATGTGCATTCTTGATCACATTGTGGACACATAATAATCTTACCTCCTATGTTTGGATCACATACTTCTTGACTGAAAGAATGAATAAATCCATCTTACATATTATGAAACACAATGAATGAGCTAAATTCATAGTTTTCATTGATCACTACTATCCTGATCATCTTCTACTTGATAAGTAATGTACTTCTACCAGTGTAGCTACACTGGCCCCTTTTTGATATGCAAAACACAAGCAAAATATGTGATAAGTGATGATGAGGTCTTTCCCCACACATAATTCTATTTTTGTGAATAATCTCTTCAAGAAGTCCCTTCCAGTTCAGTTCAATGATGGTTGGCCTTGAAATGTACACTGGAAACAATATAATTTCTATAGCTCTTACACAGCTGTCGTAGGACCTCTTGTCAAAAATAATTATATTTATTTTGATGTTCCTGATATTATTTTATTCTGTTTTGTTATCTTCCTGATATTATTTATTTTTATTTATTTTTAATCACATGGTTTGTTCATTCACAGCAGAATGCTTTATAATTTTAATTAGGAGTTGATATTTCTGTATATTCATCTGGCAATGATAATGATATATTTGAGATATTAAGATAAAATGCTTAATATCTCAAAATAATATTGACATAATGACACAAAAGCTTTTGAGGAATACAAAAGTTTAGTACCTTTATCATAGATGGTATTTCCCCCAGAATGTATATTATCATTAAGTGAAGAGTCCGCATTCTCAGCATATTTTAGTAGTTTTTCACTGAATAGAGTTAATAGTAAAGATACCATATACCTTTAAATTTTTCAAAGAATACATAAAACTGAAATAATAAATTGACATTAAACTAGCATAAATATTGAGTGATGCACTCTTATGCGTGGCTAAGGCACAACCAATAAAAATCTGGTTGTCCAGATCATCTAGCTAAATGTGGATGTCAGCCTCTGCTATGCTTGCTTACTATCGGCTGCCAAAAAAACAGGGAGGGTGGGGGAATGGTATTGGGGAAGGGAATTATATTGTACTGGAGGAGTCTTGTTCTCACCGTCTTCTGCGCATGCTGGTGGCTGATGTTCGGACTTGGTCAAGGCCAACCGTCTCGCATACCTACTTGATGAGGCTGTTTGAAGATGCACCTCACATGACAAATGATAGGGAGTTGCAGATTGGACACTGGGTTGGGGAATTGGGGCGGAAGGTGCTGGGTAAACATTTGATATGTACATGTTCCCGCCTTTCTGGCTCAGATCTTGCTTTCCTTTTTGCTGCTTTCACTTCATATCTAGTAAAAGTACTTTATCTCTATTAAAATGGAGTTGAGTTTTTTTCTTTCTTGGATATTGAAGGAGGCATGCCTGACACAAAGAGACAAAAAATAATATAAGAAGAAAGTAGTATAATTAAAAAAGAGGTAGTACAGTAGATATTTCTCTTTCAGGTTATAGAAAGGCATGCTTTCCTCATTAAACTCATGTGGAAGGAAGGGAAGAGAAGGGAAAGGAGCAAAGGGAGGGAGGGAGGGAGGG